CGGTCCCTCACTCACCCGACTCTCCTTTGGCACCACCGCCTAGGTCACCCTGTGCTCCCGCGTCTGCGTCACATGTCCCAGCACGGTCTTGTCCTTGGTCTCCCAGGTTCTCTCCCTGCGTTTCCCTCCTCCCCAGCCCCACCTTGCACGCCTTGTGTCGAGGGTCGGCTTCGCCGTGCCCCTCACTCCTCCTCGTTCCCCCCTACCGCCGCGCCGCTGCAGACCCTGCACCTGGACGTCTGGGGCCCCGCCCCCGTCCCTGGGCCGCGTCGAGAGCGCTACTTCCTTGTCCTTGTCGACGACTTCACTCGTTAAACCACAGTCTTTCCCCTGGAGCGTAAGGCCGACGTGCCTGGCGCTCTCATCCCCTGGCTTGTCTCTGCGCGTGTCCACCGCAGTCTCCCTGTATTGCGTCTTCACTCCGACCGTGGCGGCGAGTTTGCCTCAGGTGTCCTTGGTCGCTTTTGTCGTGCAGAGGGCATCACCCAGACGTTCACCCTAGCGGACTCCCCACAGCAGAATGGGGTCGCCGAGCAACGCATCGGTTTGGTCATGGAGGTGGCTCGCACCTCCATGATCCATGCCGGTGCACCCCATTTTCTGTGGCCGTTCGCTGTGCGCTACGCTTCTCACTAGCTTAACTTGTGGCCGCACCCTCAGCAGCCGCAGGTTTCGCCGACCCGTCTTTGGACTGGGTCTCCTGGAGACGCATCTGCGTTCCACGTCTGGGGCTGCCTTGCTCACGTCCGTGCCTCCGGCACGGACAAGCTCACTGCCCGCACCCTTCCCTGCGTCTTCCTCGGTTTTCCCCTTGACGCGTCCGACTGGCACTTTTACCACCCGCCGTCTCACCGCTTCTTTCACTCTCGCGACGTCACCTTTGACGAGTCCGTCTCCTACTACCGTCGCTTCACCCACCGCGGTCCCCCGGTTACCCCCCCCCTGTTCCTGGTCACTCCTTCCCCGGTAGTCCCTGCCCCTCCTCCTCCTCCCCGTCCTGCCCCCTCTGGTGTGTCCCACGTCACCCCCCTTCCGTCGGTGGACCCGGTTGAGGAGTCTTCTAACTCTGGTGGCCCTGCTGCGCAGTCCTCGCCGGCCGCCCCTTCCCCGGCGTCCCCTCCCCAGTCCCCTCCTCCACCGCCTCTGCCGCCGCTGCAGCCGTCGTTGTCGCTACCGCCGCAGCCGCCGCCGCCGTCGCAGCACCCGTTCGCTGACTCAGGGGGTGCTCGTCCCGGTCGCCCTGGGGGTGGTCCCTCTGGGGGTGCGGGTCTGGAGTGTGCCAGTGGTAGCCGAGGAGCAGCTTGTGGTCCAGGTGTCGGCGTTGTGCCGCCGCAGCAGCAGTCCCCGCCGATGTCAGCCCTTCGCCTGCTCGGCCTGCCGTCCCCCGACCCTGCATCTGTTCCTCACCGACCGTCTCCTCCTCTTCCCGTCTACGGCCCTGTGTTCCCTCCGCCGGACTCGTCCCCGGCCCGCCTCCCCCCTCGTTCCCCTCCTGTGTCCCCTCCCCTGTCTCCTGACCCGACTCCTCCGTCGCACGTCTGGTCTCACCGTCCCTCCCGTGCTCGTCCTGCCTCGCCTGTTTTGCGCTCCCACCCTATGATGCTTCGTTCCCACGCGTCTCGTCCTTCCCTTCTGCCGTCGCCTCCTCCGTCCTCCCTTGTTGTTGCACTCCCCCCGCTGTGTGACTACCTTCGTGCCGCTCGTCCTCTTGTTCCTCGGGTCCTTGCCTCTCTCGTTACCGACCCGTCTGTTCCGGTCTCGTGTTTTGACGCTCTTGTCGCTGCGGTCGCTGACTTCGCCTCTACCCACCGCCTTGACTACGCCACAGCTCTGGTCTCTGACCCTGCCTGTCCTCCGTCTGTCGGGGGTGCTCCTGCCCTTGGCAGTGATGTCCTGGAGGACCGCCAGTTCGAGCTTGCTCTCCTGTCCGAGGCTGCTCCCCATCTCTGTTCCATGCTGCTAGTCCCTGAGGGTGACCCAGACGCTTTCGACATTCTGACCCCTCGCACTTACGCTGAGGCGACTTCGGGACCCTGGGCCTCACAGTGGATAGCTGCCATGGAGCAGGAGATGGCATCTTGGAGATCCACCGGCACCTTCGTCGACGCAGTTCCCCCGCCTGGGGTGAACGTAGTCGATGGTCGCTGGCTCTTCAAGGTGAAGCGCCCTCCTGGAGAGCCGCCTGTCTTCAAGGCGCGCTATGTGGCTAGAGGCTTCAGTCAGCGTGAGGGGGTGGACTTCTTCCAGACCTTTGCTCCAACCCCGAAGATGACTACTCTTCGGGTTCTGCTACACCTAGCTGCTCAGCGTGACTACGAGCTTCACTCCCTCGACTTCTCCACTGCCTTCCTTCAGGGCAGCCTACACGAGCAGGTCTACTTGCGTCGCCCTCAGGGCTTTACTGGCACCTTCCCTCCTGGGACCCAGTGGCTCCTGCGGCGCCCTGTCTACGGCCTGCGCCAGGCTCCCCGTGAGTGGCACGACACTCTCCGTGCTACGCTTGCTGACCTGCAGTTCTTTCCGTCTTCCGCAGACCCCTCACTCTTTGTTCGTGCTGGCCAGACTCCGTTCTACATCCTTGTTTACGTCGACGACCTGGTCTTTGCCACAGCAGACAGGGACGCACTGGCCTCCGTAAAGGCAGAGCTGCTGAAGAGACACACGTGCACTAACCTTGGAGAACTGCGCCGCTACCTTGGCTTGCAGATCTCTAGGGACAGAGCATCGCGCACCATCACCCGGACTCAGTCACACTTGGTGCGCCAGGTCCTTCAGAGGTTCAGCCTTCAGTTCTCCTCTGCACAGCCCACCCCTCTGCCTGTAGACGACAGACTCTCCGCTCCAGTGTCTGAGGAGTCGGTAGAGCCCAGCGGCCCCTACGCAGAGCTGGTGGGTTGCCTCATGTACCTGATGACTTGCACTCGCCCAGATCTCGCATACCCTCTCAGCATCCTTGCTCGCTTTGTGGCCACAGACAGACACCGGCCGCAGCACTGGTCTGCCGCTAAGAGGGTTTTGCGTTATCTTGCTAGTACATCGGGCATGGGGTTAGTGCTAGGAGGACGCAGGCCAGTGGTCCTTACTGGACACACAGACGCTTCGTGGGCAGACGACGCCGAGACACGCAGGTCTACCCAGGGCTACTGCTTCAGCCTTGGCTCAGGTGCCGTCTCGTGGAGAGCTACCCGCTCCTCGTCTGTTGCCCAGTCCAGCTGTGAGGTTGAGATCTATGCTGGTGCCATGGCGGCACAGGAGCTCCGCTGGCTGACCTTCTTGCTCACCGACTTAGGTGAGCGGCCTAGCTCTGCCCCGGTCCTGTTCGCTGACAACAGGGCCATGATCCTCCTGTGTCAGGAGCCTCGACTCGAGGGCAGAGCGAAGCATATTCAGCTGCGGTACTTCCTCCTGCGTGAGCTACAGCAGCGACGTCAGGCTCGCGTAGTATACTTGGCCTCAGGTGCCAACACAGCTGATATCTTTACGAAGGCGCTTCCGCCTAAAGATCATCAGCGGCACTATGTACAGCTTGGTCTAGTTCCTGTAGCCTCTCACTTGCTAGGACCTTGACTTTGTACTGTCCTTTATATGTATACTCAGACTGGACTTGTGTCCTCTCCCAGTGGCTGGACTAGTAGTACCGCCCTGGTCTTGTTCTCGCCTGGTCTGTACTCCTTCTGACTGGTCTCTTAGACCCTTGTCTCAGAGGTTGGACTAGTAGTGCCGCCCTGAGCTGCTTGTTTAGAACATTCCCCTATGCAGTCTAGGGGGTGTGTCAAACATGTGTATTTGTTATGTTTGCATAGACTGTATAGGGTCATCTCTTAGAGGGTACAATACTTAAGTATATCTATCTGTACTCTCCCTCTATCTAATCATTCATTTCTCTCAGTTTGATAATAAATTCTACATATAAACATATGTATAAGTTGACACGTACCACCTGAATTTGTCTACCATAAGCCTTTGTTTGTGCCCAATCAACATTACTTGGGTCCAGAAGTTGCATTTAATTTTCCATAACGAGTTATACAATGAAATAAAGAGAATAAAAACAAGTATCCAGTTAAAGTGAGGAACTCAAAACTGAAGGTTTTGGTCCCCAGCCAAAATGCCCCGGGATCAAAACCTAAAGCTTTTCTGTTTGGGGGGTTTCGAGATCCTCGCTTTAATGTCACACCTAGTGATGAAGTTAGACGACAACGGTTGTGTGGAGATGGTAGAGATTTCTAGCCACTGGAACAGTTGTGGGATGGTGGCACGGAATTAGGATAAGAAAGAAGGTGTTCCTAATCAGGAAACATAGAGGCAAAATAGGTAATCTACTGTTTTCATTAACTAGTGATAGGAGAAAGTGGGTGGTGGTGTCGGCGGGACGGAAGGGAACAAGGTTGCTGCTGCCGAGTGTACAGCGTCGAGCAGCTTGATTCAAGCCACAGAAATCCCATCAGGCTGCCTCACTTGCCCTCCCGCCACCACCACTCCACTCTACCAGGCCTCGCGCTAAGCCCCAGGATATTCCGGAAGGGACGGAATTGCCTCAGGATCACCCTTTAACAGACGGAATTCTCCCAAAAAACCCGTTACCGAAAGGAATCGGCCGCTACAAATTCGGCTAGCAAGTGATCAAAGGCGGGGTTGGGCATGGGGGGGCGGGGGTAGGGGAGGAGGGGGATGGTGGGGGTGGGCGGTCGCTACCCCCTACAGATTTCCCTGTTACAAGTATAGTCCGTACGGATTCGAAAAAAAGGTACTCGTTAGGCTAAGGAATCGCGCGAAACTGTTTCCGTAAGTTGGACGGATTCGGAAAAAGTTCGCACTGTAAAAAAACGGATTTAACTTGAAACGTCACCCTTAATTTCTCGACATTAAGGGTCATTACCCTGCTAGCAAGAGGCCTGCACTCTACTCTACCCTACCGCCGATCTCTAGGTCCTTTTCTGACATTTTCACCCCATCCTCCTTCCTAGACGTCCCACCCAACCTCACTCCGCCTGACGCGTGATTCATCTCCTTTCGTTTCTTGTTCCATCCCAGCCTTGCTAATGAGTACCGTTAGGGTGCCGTTCCTGCTCGTGCCGATGGAGATTTGGCCAAATCAGAGGTTCGCCTGACGTGTATATGGTGGAAGTGAGCAATTGCGTTCACGAACCAGCAGCGCAACTTGAATTCTGGCGGTCATGACGTTTCGTTTTCTAAATCAGACTTGGGAGATGCCAGTTGATTTCAGGCCGCGTAGATGATAGCTTATCGCTCAAGTTCCTTTCTAGTCTTGCTAATTGACGATAACTTATCATTCAATGGAGGAGATTAACAGAAATCAGACAGCGCCAAAACCTGCCGGCCAGCGTCAATCATCTCATGCAGGCAGTAGAAATCAGTTAAGACCTCAATCGAAAGCGCGTAAGGGAAGGAAGAAGTCATCTAGCGGTAGTCAGACGAATTTGGAGCTACCGGTTACCAGCTACGGCGAATCGGCTGTGGATCTCGCTGACGCCTTCGCAATCCAACCTCCTCCCCCTTTTCCGCCGCAACAACAGCAGCAACCAGAGCAGCAGCAGCAGCAGGTTCAGTCTCAGGATCGAGGTCGGCGCACGCGAAGCGAGGTACACTTGCGGGAGTCAGAGATACAGAGAACGAAACCGACTCGCTCCCGACCCAACAGCGGGGAATTCCCGGTCGCTAGTAATCCCGTGGAAGGGGAGGCGGAGGAGTCGGGGCAAAGTGGAGGCAAGGGCACGGGCGCACGGGGGAAGGGAGGGCGGAAGAAGAGCCAGAGAGCTGCGTCGGTTCAACTGCACGAGGCAGCGCAACCAGATTGCTACCACTCGCAGCCGAATGGTTACTCGCAACCGGAGAATTACTTACAACCGGATAGTTACTCACAACCGGACAGTTACTTACAGCCGATTGGTTACTCAGAAACAGATAGTTACGCCAAGAACGGTTACGACGGACGCCAGCAGGCGTCGCTGCTGCTGCCCCAACAGTGGCAGCAGCAGCCGCAGCGGCGGCCGGAGGTGAACGGGGAGTATCCCTCACGAGATGAGTGCGAGTGGGCGGATCTAGAAGACAATAATTGCGATAATGAGGAAGACTCCGATCAGCGTCTTAGCCAGCCCCCCGTCCCCTTCCCTCGCTCTCGATCCGCTACCGCCGGCCCGCACCCGTTTAAACCGCTCAAGAATCCTGCGTCCAGGCACGGCGCGCGCCAGCAAAGGAGGTCGTCTGAGAGCGTGGGGGGGCTCGACGCACGAGAGATGGGGGGGAGTCTCGCAGCGGAGAGTGCTCCGCTGCTACCTCCCCCAGCGGCGCACATGTTTCCGCGGAGCAAGTCGGAAGCGGGGAGGGGGCGTGATGCGCGGAGAAGGGGGGGAGCAGTTGGCGCGGCAGCAGTCACCACTGTGTCGGCGGGTTGTGAGGCGGACTTCGTGCAGCGGGTGTCGGAGGGGACAGTGGCAGCAGGGGAGGGGCTTGTCCAGACGAGCGGGGTCGCACAGAGGGCGAGTGTGACGGGTGTGACGGGTGCTAAGGTGAGGAGGAGACATACGATCGACGGCAATGCGAGCAGCAGCAGTGGGAGCAGTGGTGGCAGCGGCAGCACTGGATGTTCAGTGGGAGGTGAGCGTATGATACACCCTCAACCGCAGCAGCACCAATTGCTGCAGCCGCAACAGGAGCAGCCGCAGGAGCAGCAGACGAAGCCGCAGAAGCAGCAGAAGCAGTACAGGAGAAGGAAGTCAGGGCCGGATGTGTCGGCTTCGGCTGATGGTGGTGGCACACATGCAGGATTGACCGCAGGAGGGGAAGGCATTGCGGGAGGGAGTTCTGGAGACTATGCAGGAGGCAATGGTGTGGAGGGGGGCTCAGCAGCAGTGTATGCGTCGCTGCTGGCTCTGCATCCGCCCCTGGTATCCAAATCCGGCAGACAGGTCGTCCGGGTAAGAACACAGAACATTGCTGGCTCAGTAACCATGTCCAACTATCGACCTTTTCTCTCCGCCCAACAGTGCGAGTGTTGCACGTCTGACGTTTTTTTCCATCCCCCCTAGTTCTCCTCTTCTGTCTCTCTGTTTTTAACTGTCCCAACAGTGCCAGTGGTGCGCTCAGATGCTGGCAGTGCCGGCACAGCTGCAGCCGTCGCAGGAGGGCAGGCAGAAGCTGCGGTGTGGCAAGTGCATGCGTGTGTCCAAATACTCCGTTACTCTGCCTCCGGACGGCGCTGCTGGGCTGCCCCTCCTCATCCCTGTGCAAAACGCGCAAGGGGGCACCGCAGCGCAGGTTCAGGCGCAGCTGCTAGAGCAGCAGCAGCAGCAGCTTGTAGAGCAACTGCAGCAGCAACTGCAGCAGCAACAGCAGCAGCAACACCATCAGCTGCAGCAGCAGATGGCAGTCCTGGCTTTACAGGGACAAGGGCATGGGGAAGAAGAGGCGTTGGAAGAAGGGGTGAATTTTGGGCAAGTCCACGAAGACGAACAATGGCAGCAGCAGCAGCGGCAGTGGGAGGTGCAGCAGCAAGAGTTACAGCAGCAGCAGCAACAGCAGCAGCAGCGAGTGATGGTTTCGTCTAGGCACAGTTCCTCCATCTCGGGGGGCTCAGCTGAAGAGTGCATCTCCGGTGGCTACCAGCAGCCTTCTGCCTTCTCACAAGCGTACCCGCAGCAGCAGTTGGAGCATTTGCAGCCGCTGCAGCAGCAGGCGCAGCCGCAGGTGCCAATGCCAGGGCAGGCAGTTGGCATGGCCGAGCCTGAATTCTCTGCTCCACGCGCTGCAGTTGCCAGTGCAGCCATTGCAGCAGCGCCCATTCCCAAGGGCTCAGCAGGCTACCACGGCATGGCGCCGCAAGGCGTGCAGCCAACGCTGCAGCAATGCTTCCCACAGGGAGGTCGTTTTCCAGGCGCCATGCATCAACCGCAGCAGCTTTCCCCGCAGCAGCAGTTTTTCCGGCCCATGCAGGGGGGTGGAGGGGTGGGTCAGATGGGCCAGGCTGGGCCTGTGGCGATGCAGCAGTTGGGTCAAGCTGGTGGGACAGACCAGCAGCAGCCCCAGACACGTATGGTGCACTCCCAGGCCCATTTGCGGGCACACATGCAGCAACCACAGCCACAGCCACAGCCACAGCCACAGCAGCAGCAACTACAACAGGTAAACGGGATGCTGCAGCAGATGAATGACTTGACCCTATCCAATGCTCGTACCCAGCAAGTGTACCCTTTACAGCATCCTTCCATGCTGCAGTATCGGCCACAGCAGCCACAACAGCAGCTGCTGCAGTTCCAGCTGCAGTACCAGCAGCAGCAGCAGCAGGTTCAGCCACAGTATCAGCAGCAGCCAGGTAACGTACCACAGGCGTCCGCATGCCTCGCAAACGAGTCTGGAATGGGGGTAGTGCTGGGAGCTGCACCAGTGCACGGGTACAGTGGTGTGGCATTCCAACAGCCCCAGTATTTATCTGTCAGACCTCAGCATGGCGCTCTGCAACCTCTGCCGCAGCACCATTCAAGCTTACAGCAGCAGGTTCAGCCACAGATGCAGCAGCAGCAACAGCTGCTGCAACAGTGGCAGCAGCAGCAGCTGCATCACCAACAGCAGCAGCAGTGGCAGTGGCAGGGAGGTGAGCAAGGCAGTCTGCCAGGAGTTATCAGTCAGCAGGATGTGCCGCAGCAACAACAGGCGATGGCTGCTCACCACTCCGAGCCTCGCAGGCCATCACAGGGAGGAGCAGACGAAGCCCAGCCTTCAGCCAAGCAGTTTCACGAGTCCAGTGGCTCTGGATTAAGTAGCTCTGGCGTTTCACCTGCTGTCAGGTTGTCTTGTAGTAGCAGCGCTGGGACTCCTGCAGCTGCTGCAGCATCAGGAGCGGGAACAGTCACAGCAGCAGCAGCAGCAGCAGCAGCAGCAGCAGATGAGGATGGAGAGGACGGGGTGCCAAGAACTGCATCGGGGAAGCGATTCCACCGGCAGGCTTCAGACATGCTGGCAACGAGGCGCTTCACAGTGGGCCCTGGAGGCAAGCTGTCCGTCGTTCCCCCCTCTCGCGCTGCGCCACAATCACAGGGAGCAGCAGCAGGAAGAGGAGGGGTGTTAGCAGATGGAGGGGATGGGGGGGGAGGGGAGGCGCCACTGAGGCGAACGGCAACGGAGAGGAAGGGAGTGAGTGCGAAGGGAGCAGAGGGGGGGGGAGCAGTGGTGCTGATGCCACGGAGCAGGACCATGAGTGCGGGTGGAGAGGCGCAGTTTAGGAGGAAGGTGGTTGTAAATGGTGTCCCTTTGGCGGATCAGAGGGTGTTTGTTGCCGAGCAGAGGATCGGGAAAATAGAGCCTGGAAATTACTGGTGAGTAAAGGCTTCAATGACTTTTCTGCAGCATGGACCTTAAGGTTTTATTGATTGCTCTATGGTTGACGTTGTCTCTGCTTGCGCAGGTATGACAGCAGAGCTGGGTTTTGGGGCCCTGTTGGGGGTGCGTCCTTCGGCATCATTCCAGTAAGTAGTTGATTTCTTCAGGTGCGTGCCTTCTTGCTCTTCTATTCTTGCTTCTCTTCTCATTCTTCTCACCCCCCTCCCTTGATCCCAGGCTTTCATGCGTGAACTAGGCAATGCCCCCATGTCTATGGATTGCTCGGGAGGCAAGAGCAAGATTCTGGTAAATGGGAGAGAGCTTCACCGCAAGGATGTGAAGGCTCTTGCAGAGAGGGGTCTTCCTGAGACACTGGGAGGTCGGTATACCCTGGACGCGGATGGCACTCTGGTTAACGAGTTTGGAAGGGTGGCTGCTGCACTTGGGCCGTTGTAAGTATGTAGCTCATTTGGAGTAGCGAAGCATCTCTCCACCGCCGAGAAGCTTAATCTATGCAATTGTGCTTTGCTTTCGCGCCAGGTTGGAAGATGACAAGAAGGACGGGCTATTTATGAAACATGTGTCAGAGTCCAAGGCGAACAAAGGGAAGTAGTTGCCAACTGTTGTTGGTCAACACAATGGCATCTATTCATCCCTTTCTGTGATGAAAATGTAAATATGTAGTAATAATATCGAAGTACACTCTTCGCGGATCCACTCATCGAATAATTTGAGCCCTTGGACTCACCATCACGGTCGGTAGGCGTTTCTTCGCCTCAGTAACGGCTCCAACCAATTCGTCGGAGGCCTGACACAAAATCCGTTTCGCAGAACTGACCTCGATTTCCTCAGTTCGAGGAACCTCGATTCCTGCTCATATGGACGAACCTGTATTTTCCCGTTTTGACGAGCCTCGATCTTTCCCCTTGGTTTTGAGCCAATAATTTTGGCCCGGCTCCAAACCTCGCCAAATACGCTAGTGTGCTTGCGCCAAACCTAGCTGCGCCCACTGGTTCGGCAGGAGCAGCAAGAACTGCAGCACTCCCTCCCTAACTCCCCCCAGCGTCAGTCTAATTCCCCCCACTACCATTCTCCCAAGAGCATTGCCCTGCTAACTTACCTTCATTCTATGCCTAGGTGATCTGCCATGGAAGGTAGTCTCTGAGTTTGACACCGTCGTCCACGAAGCGCGTGTTCCCGCTAACAGTATCGTGATTCGAGAATATTACGAGGGGTCACGTGAGCTGGTGGGAGGACATTATGAGCAGTCTCCTTATGACAGTACGAGGGCATTAGGGAACAACTTTAGCGTGCCTAACGTCTGTAACATACGACACTAGCGGGTCGTGTCGGTTGCAAGATCGTCAGCGCGTTTCTTTCTTCCCTCCATGTTTCCATCGAATCATTTGCGAACAAATACTGATCCCTAATTTCAGCACTCATCATCTGAAAGTTATCCTCTTAGCCAGTTTTTTTAAGCCTAACTTTTGATCAGGAAATGGCTAACCTGCAACCGCCAGGTAGGAAGATGAGACTTCAGCAGGACCCTCACATGATGAGTAACGGTTACCACGCCGATGGACACCCACACAGGCAAGCTACCCCCAACACGATCCACGCAAACTCCCGCTTGACTCCAATCGACGGCTGGGATGGCCGGCAGGCTTCGGATCAAAATCAAATCTCACATAGTCAAGCTCAAACTCTGCATCAGGGAACGCACGAGGGACCCCCTCAGGGCCAACGGGGGTCCATGCACGTGGATCCACACACCAGCCTGGCGGCTCAGCGCGTGCTAGCGGCGCACAAGGCCAAGCACCTGCACGTGGTGGTCGATTCCCCATCGGGCGTCCCTCCGCATGGGGGGAACCCTGCGGGGGCTATCGGAACAGGAGAGGGTCCGGAGTTCCGCGAGCAGGCGCACCAGGCGCAGCCGCAGCAGCAGCAGCAGGTTCCTCCGCTGCAGGGACAATCGGCTGCGGCCGAGGGGTCTAGCGTTCCGCAGCCGCTACTGTCAAAGTCGGGCCGGCCTGTTGTGCGGGTAAGTCAACAACTCCCGTGCGTATTCAGCTTGCGAAAAGGTCTCAGCTTGCTCTTCGCATCCTTCCTGTAACCACCCCCCGTTTACTTGGTTCGTCTTCCTGACCTTGCCTCCCCCAAATCTCCCACGGATCTTCTCGACCCTTCCGCTCTCCCCATCGCAGTGCCAGTGGTGCTCCCAGATGCTCGCCGTCCCCCCAAAGCTAGAGCCGAGAGACGGGATCCAGAAGCTGCGTTGCGGCAAGTGCCTCAAGATCTCCAAGTTCACCGTCTTCCTCCCTCCCGCCGGCGGCGTCCCCGTGCTCATGCCCCTCTCCTCCTCCGGCCCTCTCCCTGGTCCCCCTTCCATTGCTGCGTCACGTGGCGGGGCCCAGAGTCAGCAACCCCAGCCTGTGCAGCCGCTGCCGCAGCAGCAAGGGCAGCCGGTGCAAGGGGTAGCACCGATGCAGGCATATCAGCAACAGCAGCAGTTCCCAGTGGCACAGCCCATGCAGCCACAGCAGGTGCGGCAGCAGCCTTCCTCCCAGCTCATGCAGCAGCAGCAGGCAGCGTTGCAGGGTTATGGGCAAGGTGCGCAGGGGTTGGTACAGCAGATGGGCGGATTGAACATGGGTGAGACGTTTAATCAGCAGCAGTACCCAATGGTCGCTCAAATGCCACAAGGGATGGGACAGCAGGGCATGGGACAGCAGGGCATGGGGCAGCAGAGCATGGGGCAGCAGGGTATGGGGCAGTCATATCAGCCGCAGGTTCATGCAGCTCCACACATGCACCATCCACAACAGCAGCAGGCGCCGTCACAGTTCCAGCAGCAGATGGTAGGGGGAGGGCAGCAGCAGATGGTAGGGGGAGGGCAGCAGCAGATGGTTGGGGGAGGGCAGCAGCAGATGGTCGGGGGAGGGCAGCAGTATGCCAACTTTGCACAGGCAGGCATGGCCGGGCCTGGAGGATTCATGCCGCCTCAGCAGCAGCACCAGCAGCAGCAACAGCAGCAGCAGCAGATGCACTTTCAGCAAATGCCAAATCAGCCGATGCAGCAGGTGATGCAGCAGCCGATGAGTCAGCCCACACCCCCCCACGCCGCTCAAAGTCCCGTCCAACCATCAGGCTTCGCAGCTAGCCCGTTATCTCAAAACCTTTCACCCTCCATGCCCATGTACCAGCCAAACGCAGGCCCTCCCCAGCAACAGCAGCAGCAGCCAGGTCACCCGTACCAGCAGAGCCCCATGCATATGCGCACTCACATGGGCAAAATGGCATATGGAATGCAAGCACCCAGACCTCCTCTACCTGGGGGGAGCATAGGGGGGCACTTTGAGAGCGAGGAGGGCCTGCCAAGGCAAGGGTCTGGGAAGCGGTTCCCCAAGCAGCCGCCACAGCCTCCCATGGACCCACAAGCCGCCACCAGGCGCTACCTCACAGGCCCAGGGAAGACTCTAGCGGCTTCCATAGGATTCAGAAGCGCGTCACTGAACGAGCACCAGATGCAGCAGCAGCAGGGGGCGGGGGCGGGGGTGCCTGCGGAAATGCCCTTTAGGCGCACTGCGACTGAGTACAGTGCGCCGCCCGGGAGGGGGGATGCAATGACGGTGGCGCCGAGGAGCTCAACACTGGGCGGCGAAGGGCAGTACCGGCGGAAGGTGTATGTGAACGGGCAGCCTGTGCCGGACAAGCTGGTGTTCCTGGCTGAGAGGCGCATTGGGACGATTGAGCCAGGCAGCTACTGGTATGTTCAGTGCTGCTTTCCTTGGGATAGGTCGTGCTTCTGCTGCGTACTGGGTTTAAGGTAGGAGAGGCTTCAAATGTGTTAGGTTTTTTTTTTTTTAGGGCTCGAATGGACACTGGCCCCAGCTCCCGCATAGTCTTCTCTTTTTCCACCCACCCTGTTTTTCCCACTCTTCTCTTTTTGTTCACCCTCCAGGTACGACTGCCGAGCTGGCTTCTGGGGCCCTGTGGGAGGGCCGGCATACGGAGTCACCCCGGTGAGTTGCTGCCTGGTGGCTGGAGCAGAAGAGGGGGGGGGAGAGGGGGGGGAGGGGAGGGGGTGTTTGAAAGGGAGCTGTTGTAGATCATCTCAAGAAGGCTCTTCTCAGGGCAAATTCCTACAGCCTCGCGTCAGACTAACCTCGCGTTAGACGCGAGGTGACCTGTATTGCCTGCCTCGCATCAGATCACGCAGCACACGCTTGCGAATCGTTTATGGTGCAAAAATTGCATGCGCCCAAAAATAAATTCGTCGTCACCAATGGCAGATCGCCACAGCGATCAAGTTGCCCAGGTTGGAACCACTGCGCGGTCGCATCTCGCCCGCGCGGGAAAGATCAGGAACCAACCAGCAGAAAGCGGCGAACTACAGCGTGAATTTCGCTAACTGGGAAACTCACGGCGAACGTTTTGTCGCATGAGTGAATTCACAAATGGCATCTGCGAAAGCGCAATGCTGTATCATTTCCTGCTTGAAATTTCGGCAAGTTGCATGGCCCTGGTTTGAGTGAACAGTCCTTTGCAAGTGAAACGTACGCATGGGCATCGCAAACACGTTTTGCGACGGTTGGCACGTGAGGCCAAGTCTGCCGCGAGGAAGGTGAGTCTGAGCAGCGGTTCGGGCAAAATGACGAGTCTGACGCGAGGTTAGTCTGACGCGAGGCTGTAGGAATTTGCCCTCAATATCTATGCTCGATTTTCCTTGATTGAATTGTCTGCCATGGCCACATATAGATCCGGTTTTTGCTCCTGTCTTCTTGGCCTCGACAGGCTTTTATGAGGGAGTTTGGCATGCAGCCGATGCAGAGCGACTGCTCTGGAGGCAAGACGAAGGTGTTTGTGAATGGCAGAGAGCTGCATAAGAAGGACCTCGCTACTCTGCAGAAGCGGGGCTTTCCGGACACCCCTGGTGTTCGGTACACTCTGGATGCTGATGGCACAGTATGCAATGAGGCTGGCAGACACCTCTTTGCCATGGGGAAACTGTAAGTGGTAGCACCAGTGATTGTTCTTGCTTGTACCCTTCGTTGTTGACGCCTCGTCAGGGTTTTCGCCCTGCGAACTTCAGTTTCATTGCTGAGTCAACTTTTCTGATCCCTCCTGCCCCTACCATCCTTTCCATGGCCATTTTCTCAGGATGGTGGACAAGAAGAAGGGTATGTACATGGTAAAACCGTGAAGATTCCGAGCTTGTAATGGACCTGGATGGTGGGATAGCAGGATTATTTGGCAATTTTTGACCTAACTTCCAGTAATGCTTCAGGTGTCATGCTAGGTGATAGTGCGGATGTCCAATGGCCACATGAGTTCATAGTCAGCACTCATGACATTCTCTCACTTGATAAACTATGACCTAACATCTTTTCAGGCATGAAATGTAATTACTCGTGCTGAACCTGTTTCTTGTGCCAAAATAATGGATTAATTGGTGGTAAGTAGGTTGAGGAATGAAAAATAAGGAGATCAAGTTTCTGGATAGGCATCTCTTGGACAACACAAGTACATGGCCAGAATCAAACACTGTCCAGGCGAAGTGTTTCGTAACGGTGTCCATGCCTCAAGCCTCTGGTTTGGGCACATTTGTCGCTTCGTTCCGTCAGAGCTGCGAAGCATCGCCACGTATACCCAAGATTCCCGGACTTGCCGCGCATCAGGAGGAACAACAGCCTTCTCCACTGCTTGGGGGATGATGATATTCGAATAACCAGCTAGCCGTCAAGGCTGCTATGGGACGGGAAGGGATTTTATGCACGCACCAACGGGAAGGGAGCTCCCCTCAGCCAAGATCTTCCTTTCCTTCGCACTCTTCGCTCTCCTCCGAGGACATGGTCCCACTCCCACATCTGCACGTACTCCACAAGAGCGACACCATCCTTTTGTAACAGCACCGTTAGGCCTTTCTGCTGCAAACGAGGAATCACCTAGTATTTAGTGGTGACCGTCCATTATCAATGCTTTGGTTAGCTCACTACTTTCTCTGTTTCTAAGGTCACCGTCTCCGTATCGTCATTTGGTCTTAGGCATTGCGAGTCGTCTTGAGATGAGCTTGGCGGGCGCATGCTAACTGGGGATCGCTTTCGGATCCTAGCCCGTGATGGCGACCAGATTTGCTACTCGTATTCTCCGTCCAAGAAAGCAGGTCCGTACTTGAATAATGTAGCGTTTGCGATCAGACCCTCTACAACTCACTGATACAAGACGCCATCGTGACACTTGCAGGACTGGCTACAACCTGGAACGTCCAAATACGCTCTGCTTTTAGAAAGACAGTTCACCGCTTCCTCCCTAGGTACTCCTGCAAGATCAGTCGCGAAGTAGATACTCGGTCATTATTTGGTACTGACAGGAACGCTTTCCTGTGCAGGGGATAAAGATGGCGAAACCCAGAGAAGCCTTCCTGAAAACGCTTCACAGGTTAGCTTTGCTGCTTGATGCATGTGTGATTACCCCGCCAGTAGTCCAGTTTTGATTGAGCCTCGCTGCTCTCTTACAGGAACCTGCTAGGCCAGAGCCATTTGCGGGATTAAAGCCATGGCTTCGGCCTTTGATGCCAAAAGCTGACGGCAGTCTTCCAGAGGCCGTTAAAGTCGCTGCTAAAGCTTCCGGTGTGCAGGATCCGACGGTGAAACGAGTAGCAGAGGGCGTGACATCCACCACACCCACCAGAGTATTCGAAGTGCCCGAGCTCATCGGAAATGACAGAGACCTTCCGGACATGTCCCCTGGAGAGGTCCCTAAGGGTTACATTGATCCCGTTATCCCGGAAGTCTGGGGTCGGGTTCATTCGATCGAGTCCTTTTCAGCAGTGGACGGACCTGCCATTAGGTCCGTGGTCTTCGTGCAGGTAAGGATCTGCGTTCACGTTAATTGGTTCATACTGCCTGTTATTTCTCAGACGAGTGACGGTGATCTCACTGTGTTGCGTGGGAAACAGGGGTGTCTAAGGCGATGTGTCTTCTGTGCCAATCCGGATACCTGGAGGTGGGTTTCCTGTATTCTTTCCTGCCTTCACATTGCGCTGTGGCTCATTTATAAGCATTCACCAGCTCCCAATTGCAGTGTGACGGCCAAGTGCCAACGATTATCATCCAAAGACATTGCTGCACGTTTGAAGAAGAATCTGGCCTACTATGAAGGCGGTGGTGGGGTGACCGTGTCAGGAGGGGAGCCAATGATGCAGCCTCACTTCTGTAGTGCTGTTTTCAAAGAGGCTCATCGATTAGGAATCACGACAGCACTTGACACAGCCGGTAGGTTTTTACGCATGCTTCTCCAGCAATTTCTGCAGCATGGCCGAGCTTGCCAAGCCAGTTTTCTACACGTCTGCCCTGTAAGATTGGGCCTAAGTCGCTCTCGCTCCCTTTGTTCATCTCCCTTTGAGCAGGATATGGAAGGGCAAAGGACTGGGCTGAAGTCCTTCCACACACTGACACTGTTCTCCTGTGCACCAAGGCCATAAATCCGAAGCTATACTTTGACATGGTACAAGTGAAGCAGCAGCTGTTTCTGGACTTCGCAAAAGCAGTGGGAGATTATGGCGTCCCTATGGTCATCCGCTTTGTGCTGGTCCCAGGCATGACCGATACAAAGGAGGAGGTGGAGGGTCTTGTTGAGTGGGCGAAGCAGCAGCCAACGCTGGTTGGGATTGAAATGCTTCCGTATCACAGACTAGGGGTCAACAAGGTACGACTACACTGTGGCAGTGAATGTTGCTTGTGGTGATGAATTGTCCTCAGTCTCTTCCGTTTTTCTGACTGTCGTTCTTTGTTTGATGTGTAGTGGGAAGCACTAGGGCTGAAGTATCCTTTGGATGGAATGGTGCCAAATCCAAAAGAAGTCGTTGATCATTGGCGATCATACATTGCTCTGCAAGGGCTAAAAGTGATGCTTTAGAGTAGTTGTTGGCTGATTGCTGTACATTATGAGTATAGTTCTAAGAATGGATGAAGGGAAGTACGAATTAGTCATGGCACAATTTTGAGATTGAACTGTAGTACTGACACCTGTAGTGTCACTGTACGTGATACGTGAGCGTTCTGGAGCACCAGGGGGATTTTCTTCATATAGCACCAGGGAAGCGAGCGGTGTCAGTTTTCCTTCACAGATCGTGTTCCTGCGAGCCTCTTCCCAGGCAACCCCTTCCCCGACTCGCGCGATACCTCGAGAGCGTGTTCCCAGAAATCCCGTTCAGAATTAGCCCGTTCCAGATATGCGTTCCACCATTCTCGAACGCATAAAAACAGCTCCAGTCGAAAAAGCACTGAACACATTCGCGAATCGCGAGTGTCTGAAAATATGTTCGCCTGGCAAGCCTAACCTTGCGTCGCACCACGCGGAACCGCACTGAACAGTTTTGCGTCAAAATTCGCGGAACTGTAGCGCGCGAGTATGGGAAGAGGCTGCCCGGGAAGAGGTTCCTAGGAACACCCTCTCAGATGCAGCCAGTACATATCCCCCAAGTGCGTACACACACACCAAACACTGATGCGTCGTCAGCCACACGATTTCCTTTCTGAGGTGGATGTTGGCTTCGTCTGACGCGAGGGGTCCGCCATAGCGGTTGGATGCACGTCAGCAACATCTCCGTGCGATCGTCATTTGCCACTGACCAATCATCACCTCCTGCCAAATGTTCGCAGAAGGATCGTCTCCATCCATTCGCCTAAAGGCTGAGGAGAATCCATCGACATTCCATCACCGTCGATCTGGTTTGGAACTGCTGGCTTCAAGAGTACACGAGTGCTGTGAGGAAGGACATAAGTCGTCCCGTGCTTTGCCTTCCCTCACAGCACCCGCTTTGGGATCATCAACCTTGGCATGGAACCAATTTCATCACTAGTATAGTAGGAAAGGCATATGCAACACCAGCGTGCCAAGGGCATTCATTCCAACGTTCTTCAATGTCTTTCCATAATTCATTGATTTGCTTCTGAGACGCCAAGAGAACACAACCAGGCAAAGCCACCCTGACAAACAAGCTTCTAATCGTCCGTCCCGACGCTCACCTTGAAAGTGTCGCTCCTCATATCCTTCCGACATGGCCGGGATCTCAATTACTGCTCTGCTCTCTGCAGTTCCTCCATCACCTCGCGTTTCAACCCTCAAAGCCACCAATGCGACTCCAGGATTTCATTCAAGCTCCGACGAAACAGCCGTTCAAGCATCGCGAACTTACAAGTGTCAGATTGACTCAGCACCGCGTTCGAGGCAAGACCCACTGCAGGCCCCAACTCGTGCCTCTCACGTCTCGCGAGCAGTGGTCAACGCAGACCGCCAATCAGCGGCGACGGTTGATCAGGTCGAGCAGGTCTCAACGACCAATGAACAAGTCGAGCTGGATGAGCAGGAAACTGCATGTGCCTCGCGTGGCTCGTCCGACAATGCCGTCGTATCGTCAAGATCTCCAGAATTTGAATGCGTTCGCGTGACGGAGGATCCACAACTTTGGGTACGAGTTCTCGTCATCATTATCATCGCATCACTTCTCTTCAATGCTAGCTGGCGTCAGCAATTAGCCGTTTAATGGCGTACGCACCTCAAATATTCATTCTCTCTAGCTACGTATTAGTAATCATTAATCTGACCATGGTCGCTACCTCCTCACCTGTTATTCATGATCACGCCAGGCTGCAGCAGCGCTGCGAGCAGATGCACTGTGCGAGACAGAACCGCATGTGAGGTGAGAGGGGTCTTGAACGCATGCTGGTCACGATTGGATGCACATGAAAGCTGCTAATCGAACAGGCAATTGCGTCAGTCACTTGCGTCAAAACACTATTTCAGCCTGTAATTACGTCCTTTTGTGTGATTCTAAGCAAATGGTTGATTGCAGGCTTTGTAGGCACGTCATTTGGCTCCTGCTTCCGTTGAGTTTCACAAGCACTTGTGTAAGATTTCCTCAAAGACTCTCTCTCACCAATTGTTTCATTGCTTATGACGCAGGTTCGTGGACAGCTACAAAAAAAGGTTTACCGAACAGGTAATATGCTGTAGAGAAGTCTGATGTTGCAAACAGTTGACCGAACAAGTAGCCTGATTTGCCAAGTCACAGGCAGCGCAGGCTTCTCTCGCCGTGCTATGAGATCCATCTTCCCCACTCCCCATAGCTTCAGCTCTGTTAACCGTCCCTGCCTCTGTCTCACTGTCTCGCTCCTTCCAGGAATTCCACTCCATGAAGCGGCGCATCAGGGGCAGCACGGGCCAGTCCATCCGCTGCGTCTGTCTTGCTGCCATCCAAACCCAACCAGATGACTCCCTTCAGATTCTCCCTGACAACATCATGCAGCAGGTTCTGCATGTTCCTCCTGCCTCTGCCAGTCCCACCATTCACATGAACGGCTCTTCAATTGCAACCCCGGAATGTGTGCAAGCAGACAAGGAAACGAAGTTTTTGGAGCATATGCTGGGGGAAGCAGGAGCGGGGAGGGAGATGGTTGAACGACCAGAAGGTTTCAGGCAGGGAGGTTTTGTAGCAGCAGGAAGTGCGACTGGAGGGGTTGTAGCGAAGCAGAAGGTGACAGAGCTGGAGAGAGTGATGGGTACTCTTGACGTCAGCCTAAGGCGGCTGGGTTCCAACGAGATATTCCCCGGGGTGAGCAGCTCACAACTTTGTTTCAGCCGTGAAAATGTTGCTCTCAGAATTTTATGAGCCACACGTCGAGCACATGTGCCTGCCACTTCTTCTCCATCCGCTGCTTGGTGCTTGCCCGTCTAAGAGATGAGATACTTCTTCTCTTCCTTGCCCGCTCGCTTGCAGGTCGAGCGCCCTCCCGAGGCATCTGGTTTTTTTGTGTCCCTGCCTGACATATCGCTGCCTGACATATCCTTGCCTGAGTTATTGCTGCCGGACACCTCCACTGCACTCGCAACAATGCAGACCGCCCTCAAGGACCTCCAGGTGACCTCATTTCTCTGGGTGACACCATCTCTCTCCAGGTGGCCTCATCGCTCCTTTTCTGTCCAAACTGGTTCTTCCCCTGAACAAGCTCTCTGTCATTCTCTCTTTTGCTTTGCCAACTGACTGAGTTTCACTCTCAGCTCGACTCAAGCAATGCTCCCAAACATTGCACGAAACTAATACAGGCCTTAACCCCATTGAACCAGCATGCTCACTCTTCCCTCTAAACCACCCATTCCTTGTCCCCCTGCTCTCCCCTCCATGACCAACGCCTCCCTCACCATGCCAGGCAGACGTGCTCAGCTCCACTGCCACCCTTCCCTCGTCCGCCCTCACTGCTCTCTCCACCACTGCCAACCGCCTCCAATCCGCTGCCACCGGCCTGCAGGCTGCTGTGAGCGACATTGGATCGGCTGTGAATGGCATTCCATATGAGATCCGCTGGTACCCTTCTACCCTGCCTGCCTCTGCTTCCACTCTCCTCAGCAACGCCCTCACTGACCTCCAGGTAACCTTGCTGCCCTTGCTGCCTCCAGGATATGCTCAGATTCATTTCTAGGTTATACGGATTGTAGGCATTGTACCAGCTTTTTCGACCTTATTGCCTTCTCATTTGGCTTCTGTGGGGCTGTACAGGGCGCATGGCAGACAGTGGCACAGGAGAACGAAGAAAGTGTCCGTCAAATGACGAGTCAAGTAGCCCCTGCCGTTTCGACAGAGCAAACTGAGAAGAGCCAGTTGCAGGGACCAGTGCAGCAGAAACAGCATGAGCCAATTGTGGAACAGCAAGTACAGCAGCAGCAGCAGCAGCAGCAGCAGCAGCAGCAGGAGCAGGAGCAGGAGGAGGAGCTGGAGGGGTATACAGGGCAAGTAGGGATGGAGCGGCCATGCTATGCATACATATCGAATGTATGCGTGTCGAACAAATTCAGGCGACGGGGCATTGCTGCAGCTCTCATGCGTGCTGCAGCTGACGTTGCGGCAGAATGGGGTGAGATGAGAGGGAAGGATGCTGGGAGAACGGGGGTAGTACGTAAAGGTTTTGTGGGGGGCAATGTTTATCTCCCATACATGGTTGTTTGTTCATGCACTCAACACTCTCTCTGCCTTCATTCACCTGTGTGCATGGTGTGTGCACTTGTGTATGTGTGCGTGTGTGCTCGCCCTCAGGTGCTGACGAGGTGTATGTTCACGTGCATGCGTCCAACACAGCAGCACATCATCTCTACCACCAGCTGGGCTACCAGGTACCTACACCCCTTGCCCAAAGCAACGGCTGCTAGTGCCAAACACCCCATGTAGGTAGTACTTGTACCTCTTTCCTGTCTGATTCTTCATCAAGGTTGTCTGCTCATTTTCCTTTCCTCCCCCAGTTGCTGGACATCCCAACAGCTCCCACTGGCCACATCTTCACTGCATGGAAGCCAACTGGCAGTCAAGCTTCTCTTGATGACACTCTGCTGCTGCGCCTGCCACTCAACCGCAACACACAGTTGCCAAGATGACGAATGAACGGCAGAAACAGGAGTGTGCCCTGAACCCTGCTCATTGCTCTCTCATACATTGTGGCTTGCTCTCTCAGGCAGACGTTCTTTGCACAGCAGAACCAACTTATTTTATTCATTATGCAGCAGGTCAATAAAGAAGTCGCACAGCAAGTCCTCATACCCACGCAACTTGGCATAGCCTGGGAAGTAGTTGACATCGATAATGAAGAACCCGTTGGGGCATGCAGCAGAGCGCACGATATCTGCATTGAACAGCCTCAAACCCAGGTGCTTCCTCAAGTGCTCTCCCAGTGCGTCTGCAAAGCCATCAGGCAGAGGGCCGGGCCAAAGTTCATCGGTACCCCTGTCTACGTTGCTGCTTGTTATGCTGGCAGTGCTGGAAAGCTCAGAGGGTTGAGGCACAGTGGCAGTCATAGGGGCATTTGATACTTGAGAGAAGGGTAAGTACCCAGGGGAAACAGAAGCCTTGCATTGAGATGGAGCTACATTGGGAAGGGATGGGCGAACCTCACACCGCACGGAGGAGCCGATAACATAGAGCTTTGTGAGACGACCTCCATGGTTGATGAACTGCTGAAGGACAATGGAAGGTTCTTCACAGGTTACAGCAGGAGCTGGGATATCGGCAGTGGTGGAAGCCATGGTGGAGGCGGCAGCAGCAGCAGAGGCTGGGGAGGTCATGGTGGTGGGTATGGCAGCGAGGGAGTGAGCGAGGGCAGAGAGGCCATGCGTGTTGAAGACAAGAGAGAGGGAGTGAGATGCCGTGCTCCCATTGGCCTCCACTGGTTTGGCCACTAGAGGAAAAGAAAGACCCTGATTCTGCAGGACTGCTTGCAGAGCCGAGGAACCACCCGGCCCATCTTGGATTCCTGCTAGCCGGCTTAGCTCGCTCACAGTGAGCACCGTCTGCTGCGGCACACACACATAGTACCCCGGTACTATCTCCCACCACCGCCCCTCTCCTTCGCCTTCACCTCTTTCCGCACCTCCCGTCCTTTCCGCTCCAGCTGCTGACTTCTCTTTCCCTGCCAACTTCCAGCCTTCAGTGGCCTGAGACGTGTCAGCATCAGGAAGAAGGCCTTGGAGCATAGAAGCGCGGTCGCACACGCGAGCGATTCTCTCTGGCGGGTCCACGATTCGCCCAGCGAGAGTAGGGAATCGCGCAGCTAAGATTCGCAGCTGATCAGCCCACTCCGCTGTGAGAACCTTATGCAGCACCGCATCATACGGCGCTTTCTGCGGGACCCCATGATCGGCGGCAATATCGTTTTCCTCGCTACTATTCTGATACTCGAGAAGGTTCTGGAAAGGATCGACAGGGACGAGTTCGATGCCCTTCGCGAGGCATGCGGCGATCAACGAAGGCGTCAGGAATGTCCGCACCTTCTTCGGTGCGAAAGCGCATGCGATGCGGTATGCTGGCAGCGACGGACGGACAGGATTGCTAGTGGAGGGCTGAACCAGTGGTGAGTTCATCAGACGAGCGCTGGATATTGCCGAACAAGGTTTTGGCTTGCATGTGCTCAACTAAGTGGAAGCATGCTAGGAACAAGGTTTTGGCACAGAAAAGTGCTGCTGAGTCGGAGCAAAAAATTTACAGCCACACGACACGAGTGAGGTATTTCACATTCTCCAGTTTTACCATGCTACAGAAAATGTTCGGGTTCACTGTATCTCGGGATATCATACACGATAATAGCCAGTGGTGCATATCCCAGACATGAAAATTCAAATCAACGGCCACAAATGACTCCCGCCTTCAATTTCGTCCTGCAAAACCCAGTTCTGACCGCCTCGCCTTGCCTTCTCCCAGCAGGCAAGCACTTCCGGCTTAGGGCGGGTCCAAAAGTTAATTTTCGCAGAATACCATACCCAATCATTCTAGTCTGTTATTCGAACGCTTTGAAACGCAAGGAAAGCTACTCCACCGTAATCAGACGTACTATTTGGACCCGCCCTTAGCTTGTTCCTCTGGTTATTCCTCAAGTGCTGTTGATCAGTAGCAGGCTGGTTTCCTGATCTTCGCTTGCTTTCTTTCTTTGATTTTCGCTTCTAGCCAACCCCCCACCTCCCCCCGTGTCATGGCGGATATATTTGAGCAAGAGGAGGAGGCGATGACTGCAGAGGAGTACGAGGAGAGAGTCGAGGTACGTTCGTTCATTCCTTGACCCGACGGGCCTTGCCTTGAAACTTGTAGTTATGATCTTGTTCCAGTATCCGTTCTAACTTCACGGCGTCCGTAATAGTTTCTTATGATTTGTTTCCCCGTGTTGGACGCTCGGCGCATGAACCGCACTGACCGTTTCAGGAGGCGCTCGCCGTACTCGGAGCGGACGATCCTGACAAGTGCACATATGACATGGGCTACCGTAAGCGGCAGGCTCTCTATTCCTGCCTTACGTGCGTGCCTCCGCCCAAAATTCCAACTCTGCCGAAGGAGACCGAGGGAAGTGAAGGAGAAAGAGGAGCAAGCAGTCGAGTGGACCTAAAAGACATATTGTCGGGTGATTGGAATCCAGCAGGAATCTGCACTGCATGCTCGTTGAAGTGCCATGATGGCCATGAGGTGATACATCGTTCCATCAATTTTACCCGTCGCCGCTGCCTTGCCCAGCCAGCACTACTGCAAATTCGTCCCTCACACATCCTGCTCTTCCCCTACGATTTTCCCCAAATTTACAGCTTGTGGAGCTCTACACGAAGCGTCGATTCTGCTGTGACTGCGGCACATCCAAGTTCCAGGGGTCAGTTGCTCCGTCATGCCAGCTCCAGCCTGAGAAAGAGCCTTTGAACGAGCGCAACGAGTACAGCCAGAACTATGCGGGTGTATATTGCAACTGTCGGCGGCCGTTTCCTGATCCAGAGGCTGAGGCTCGAGGGGAAGATGAGGACATGACTCAGTGTATCGTGTGTGAAGATTGGTTCCATGACCACCATCTAGGCCTTGAGCCTGGGTTTGAGGTATATTCCAGGAAGGTGTTGTGTTTTGGTAAGTGCAGCATATGCTGAACTTAACTTTCAGCTCTGTCTCCTTGCAGGCCCCCGAGCATTTCACCGACCTGATATGTGGCCACTGTGCTTCCACCAAGTGCCGATTTTTTAAGCTTTATCCTCACCTCCTGGTGGCTCCAGAGAGTGTTAGTGATGCTCCTTCAGATGGGGATGGCAACAAGCCTAAAGCAGTAACCAATGAGAGCGATGATGTCAACGGGGATGACGGTCCAGGCAGTGGAGTGTGTGGTGATGTCTCAGAGGCGGCATGCGGACATCAAGCAGCAGAAGTTGTTGACGCTGCAATATCCAAACAACCTGGTTTGCCTAATGGAGGTGGTCCTGACGTATCTGCTGGTCTCGGGTCGGCGGTGGCACACAGTGAAGCAGACTGCAAGCTTGCCTCTGCTTTGGGAGGGCAAACTATAGGCTCCGCTTTCAAGAGGGCGATCGGTGAATCAACAAGCACGGCTAATGTGGAACACCCGCTCGCGGATCGGGATGTTGCTGATTGTTCAAGCAATGTTGTTGCAGACGCCAAAGCCATTGCAGACCTGGCCAAAGCGGAATTTGGCCCTCTCTTTCTTACAGAAGGATGGAGGGCTTCAATCTGCAGCTGCCGACAGTGCACCAGGTATAGTTGGCATGAAACTCCTGAAACTCCTTTATTTGTGTGTGTGTTGGCATTGACTTACAGTAGGCCGTAACGTTCTTCTTATCAGGTTCTATGAGGAGCAAGGCGTTGACTTCCTGGTTGATGTGGAGGACTCCATCAAATTCTACGAGGACGAGGCTAAGAAGATTCGGCAGCAAAAGGAGGAAGAAGCTAACGCACAGGTTGAAGCTCAGTTTCAGAGCATGGACCGGGTTGCCCAACTGGAAATCATTCATGGCCTGAACACCTTCAAGTCTGATTTTGCGAAGTTTCTGGTAAGTCTGATCACCACTAGTTTGCCATCAAAGTTGAACCTGTTCAAATTTTCCTATGGCATGCATCAGCCCTTTCAAATGCTGCATTGGCACAAACCCGCTCCTCTTCTCCCTTCCCCTCCTTCCCCCTTCGTTGCGGCATTCGTTCCACCCCTTGCAGGAAAAGCATGCAGGCACTGATCATGTGATAACTGCACAAGATGTTCAACAGTTTGCGGAGGAGCAGAAGGCAAAGCGCCCACGTCGTTTGTGACGCTGAAGTACATGAAGTTTGTGACATGTCTTGGCGTTGCTGCCTTCGTTGATGTCCTGGTGGTCACCTTCAGTTCAGACCCAACGCAATGTGTAGGAATGCATCATGCATGAATGCTCATGCATGCATCTGAGTCACATCACTAGTGTACAGAATGTTCATTTGCTGAATCGACGAATGTTTAGATGAGTTTGCTGAGACGTTTTCTCAATCTTTAGAAGGCTTCTGAATGTCGGTTGAAGATTTCTGCTGCAGTGAAAGAATTATTATAAAACCAAAACAGTTCCTGGTGGTACCAATCGATCGAGCTTCACCGTTGAGTTGATGTGGTACCTCAATAATGGAGAATCAGATAAGTTGGTGCAAGCTAAAGAATCTAAAGATTGGCAAAACGAGCACAAAGGCGATGCTCAGCTGAGACGTTTTCTGGGCTACATGTACAGTGAGCCTCGTACTGGGCTCATTGGCAAGTGAAGCCATGACAGATGGAGAGCCAGATGATCAGGGCCAGCACCACCAAAATGCCAATCACAACAGCCTTAACCTTCATGTTCTCCCACCACATTTTCTTCTTGATCTCAGTGCCTTGCCTCTTGAATTGACTAGCCTGCATAGAGTAACATGTTAGCTCCAGTCAGAACTTTAGAGATTAAAAGCTCATTGAGCCAGTGCGCATCATCCCTTTGACATACCTGAGTGGACAGAACGTCTGCCTTCTCCGCCAGCAGCTCCATCTTCTCGCCTCGTTGTAAAACCTGGAACACAAATGCGGCAGGTTAAGATGGCGTTCAATTCGTCAAATGCTACTGCTTCCCTGATCTTCTAACTGATGCTCCAACTCACCTTTTCTATGTTATCCTTCATCACACCCTTCACTTCAGCCACTTGTGCCTTTATCTTGGCAAACTTGCTCATTTCCTCAGGGTGCTCAGCCACGTACTTCATATGCTCCTTCAGCTTCGGCCTGGGGAGAGTACAGGTCACATGAGTGATCCAAAACGAAGATATGACGTTAAACATAAAAGCGCAGCATTCCGCAGCCCGAAAACTCACCCAAACTCCTTGTTCAATGCGTGGGCTCCAAGATTTGCAGCCTTGCTGGCATATCTGGCGTTGAAGTCATCCTTGATGCGTTCCAGGAAGGCAAAGATAATTTGGCGAGTGACGTCTTGGTCCGCGAGGACCATGTATGCTGCAGATTCACAATCGGTACGTTTAGGTCACGGAGAAAACACATAAGACCGTACGAATTTCATTCTAGATCCGATGAGACCGTACCATATCCGTTCTCCAGGAGATAGTTGAGTGTGTGGCCACCGTGCGGGAAAGTGAACTTGTTATTTTCTTGAGGCATCTTCTCCAGGCACTGAAGAGCGATGGTGTTGAAGTTTCCTTTGAAAGAGGTGTATTCAGCGAGGACTACAGTGCCCCTGGCCACGAAAGCATAGATGAGCTGACCCATGGCGACCTCTCTGGAAGAGTTAATAAGAAAAGCAAAAGTCAGGAGCGTAAGCTTGACACTTCCACGAGACCAGAGATAGAGCCCTGCTCGATAGGTATAATCAAGCTCTGAGAGGAACTATCCTGAGATGCCAAACGGTGTGGAGGAAAGGAACAAGAATGATGCTGGATTGGCAAGAGTGGAGATCTCTAGGGAGCATGAAGCAGATGCTGAGGAAAACCTGGGGAATGTCTTCAGGAGACATCTGAGGGGCTCCTGCCGCTAAGCTGTGTAGCGCAAGGCTTCCCCTTCCCCCCGGCGGACGCGCCAACCGCATTCTGAAGCAGCTGTGTACAGAAGCGCATGGTGTCGCTCCGTGTGTCAGGGGGCAGACAGCTGGGCGCGAGGCCCTGGTTCGCAACTTTGCGCGCAGACGCCTCTGGCATTACAGTAGCCCTAGACCTCGCTAAAGAGAAAAGGGCTGTTCGTGTCTGGAATGGGGAAATTGTAATATAGCAACAAGCTATATATTGTAATGGAATGTGGAGATTTTGTGCTGCACGAGGATAAACTAATTCCTCTTTTGTCAGCCACTTCTCACAGGCAAGCCTCAGGGCGTGTCACATGCCTGCGAACGTTTTCGCTCAATACCGTACAGAACCATTGTAGGTTGTTTATCCATCCCTCTGAATTAAAAAAGCGCCTCACCCAACCGCAATCAGATGTATGCTTCGGTCACACCCTGATTAGGGGACAACTTGCTCCTTCGATCATGCCCTCTACTGCAAATAAAACCGTACATATTCCCCCTCTTATTTTCTACGTCTAAGTTTCTTACCAACCGTCGCACGAGTAAGGAGAAACCACAGCGGCAAAAACTTCCCATTTCGCCTCTCTCGCTTCCAAGGATCATTATCCCTTCGTCGTTATAGTTTGCGCGGGTCGATAAACCTCTCGGCAGCCATGAGCGACGGTCATGGTGGTGCGCCCGAGCCAGAACCAGAAACTCAGGATCCGAAGACGGCCGACGGGGGATCGGACGAGGAGGAGGAGGAGGAGGAGGAGGACGCTGGCGGGATGTCGGACGGGCAGCAGGAAGGCTCGGGCGGCGAGTCGAAGGACGGGGGAGGGGAGGCAGCGTACGGAACGGGGAAGAAGAAGAAGAAAAAGCAGGTGGGAAGCGGAAAGCCTGTTGCTGAGCAGTCTTCGAACGCTCTCCTTTGGCTTGTCCCACACCTGTCTTTTTTATCTCCTAGTACTGACCTTTTTTTCCAAACATTCATTTTTCATTCGTCACTATCCTGCTTCCTTGGCGCATTTCCTCCAGAAGAAGCGCAAGAAGAAGGGCGCAGGCGGGGGATCCAGTGACGCCGGCTCCGCTTCCCCCCACGCTTCTCCGCCCACCTCCCCTTCCGGCGTTGCTGCGCCCGCCGCGCCGTTCCCCCCCTCGCCGTCCGCGGACTCCCCCTTGTTCCAGCCGGACCTGGACGACATGCTGCCCGTCGAGGTGGCGGAGAAGAGGTGGGGCGGGGGGGGGAGGGGGAAGAAAACGGGGGAAGGGTTAAGGGGGGGGGGGGGGGGGGGGGGGAAGGGGAGGGGGAGATGGCGGACAGGGGGTATCCCTGACATGAAAGTTTAATCGCTCAGCGTGATGCTCTAACTCATCCCTCGTCCTATCGACTCCTTTCGCCTCTCCCCCCCCCCCCCCCCCCCTCCCTCCCCTCCCCGCGGTTCCATCAACCCCTCACCTGTTGGAGTTTCCCCCCACCAGGTTCTCTGCAGCGCTGGAGTCGATGCGCAGCAAGGCGGACCTGTGCATGTGGGTGCAGCTGGCGCGGTGCCGCGTGGGCGACAAGAAGCTGCGGCGCCTCACGGACGCGCTCATCCACTGCGAGACAGTCACCTCCGTGGACCTATCGGGGAACCTTATATCGGATGCGGGCCTGCGTCAGCTCGCCTGCGCGCTCTCCGCCCCCAGCGCCGCGCCGGATTTGATCTCGCTGAACGTGAAGCGCAATCCGATCTCGGCCTCTGGGCGGTCGTGCCTGGCGAACCTGCAGGCGGTCCGGAAGCTCGTGAGGGTGCGTGGGGCTGGTGGGTGGGGACTTGGGGTTGGCTGGGATTTATGGAGTGAGGTCAATCAAGCTACTCTGGGAGGAAATGTGCTCTTCGTTGACTTCCTGAGGGATGCTGCTACGGTTGCTGCAGCTCCCCTTGTCATGTCTCGTCCTAAACAGGTGCCTCTGTCAACGTGTCTATGACTTAGCTTTCTGAGGCCGTGCTTTCTGAGGCCGTGCTTTCTGACGCCGTGCTTTCCTCTCAAAAGTTTCACACCACTGATGTTGATGTCCCTCGCTTCTCCTGCAGATAGAGTACGAGGAGCCTGCAGCAGCAGCGGCACAGGAGAAGAAAGGCGCACAGGGAGCAGCGGGGCAGGGGATGATGGACGCGCGGGGCTTTGAAGGCGGGGAGAGGATGGGGGGGGCTGCACCCAGCAAAGCTAGCAACCCGCAGATCAGGGTGGGTGAAGTGAACGGGGAACGGGGGAGATGGATGGGTGGGGGGTCAAAACGGGGGGATGAGAGAGCGGAGATGGAAGGGGTCAGGTGAAAGGGGGGGTGGAATGGAGGGATGCTTTTCAACTTCTAGTGGAAAATGTTTTTATGCTGCTCCATGTTCTTTTTTTTAGATGTTTCTTACTCCTTCCACTTCCTCCTTCCTCACAGATCGATGCCGTGGTCCGTTTCATCAGGGAAGCATCGGAGAAGCTTCAGCAACTTGCCCCCAGCGACAGCAGCACACCAGGCAGCAGCGCCACGTCAGCAACAGCCGTCGCCTCGCGCGTGTTTGACTCGGCGCTCATGGTGGAGGCGATGGAGGATGTGGTGGAGCTGGTGGACGCGGACCTGCGCCGCAACCCCTCCAAGTCCTACCACAACTCGCCCATTGCCAAGCTGCCTCTTGTGAGCGCAGTGGCTGTGGTCGCTTGTGTACCTCCCTGCTTAGCTGCCTCGCTTGTGTCACTCCCGCACGTCCCCGTGGCCCAACCACCCACACACAATTATAACCACTCTCCCATCTCTCTTCCTGCTTCTCTCCTCTCCACTCCCCTCCGCCACCCCCCTCCCCGCTCCCCTCCACCCCCCCCCCCCCCCCCGGCCATCTTCCACCCCCCCCAGCCGCTGCGTCTGGTGGTGGAGAATCTGCCCGCGTTCGTGTCCCTGCTGGAGATGCCCATGCCGCCGCAGCTGTGCCAGCGCAAGGTGGCAGAGCCGGCAGCGGGGCGGCACCGCATTCTGGCCGTGCTGCTGCTGCGCAAGGTGCTGGGGGCGTGCGGGCGGGCCGTGGACGACAGGCTGGCGAGGGAGGGCGCGGGGAGGAAGGTGGCTGCACTGTTGTTTGACTTTCCCTGGAGCAACGTGCTGCACCATGGGGCGTGCTGCTTCCTCATGGTATGTGCTGCTTCCTCATGGTATGTGCTGCTTCCTCATGGCATGTGCTGCTTCCTCATGGTATGTGCTGCTTCCTCATGGTATGTGCTGCTTCCTCATGGTATGTGCTGCTTCCTCATGGCATGTGCTGCTTCCTCATGGTATGTGCTGCTTCCTCATGGCATGTGCTGCTTCCTCATGGTATGTGCTGCTTCCTCATGGTATGTGCTGCTTCCTCATGGTATGTGCTGCTTCCTCATGGTATGTGCTGTCTTGGGAAAACAAGCTCCCTTGTCTCCCCTTCTCCTCCTCCCCCCTCATTGTGATCTGTGGCATTTCCCCCCTGCCTGGCTTTCCCGATTCAACGCCTTCTCTCTCCGCTTCATCAGTCCTTTGGTTACCTTGGCACTTCTCCCCCCTTCCCCCCTCCCCCCCGGCCCCTCCCCTCCACCCCTCTCCCCCCTCCCCTCCCGGCCGTGGTGCTGCCCCCGCCAGTCTGCCTTGGAGCGCCCCAACTCGTCCCTCTCCTCATCTCTCCTCGAGCCCCCTCCCTCCGACGACTCTTCCTCCTCTTCCACCATCACCCATGCTGCCTCCTCTCTGCCAGCTGCTGCCACCACCACCACCACTACCACAACTACGAGCAGCGCACCTGCTGCTGCCGCTGCGTCGGGCACTGGTGAGGATGCTGGTTCTGATGCTGCCACTGCTGCTGCTGGTGCTGCTGCTGACACTGGTGGTGCGACGGGCGCTGCTCCTGCTGCAGACTCCACCTCCTCGACTTCACCTTCCGCCTCAGCTCCCCCCTCCCCCTCCCCCGGAACTCCGCCCACCAGTGCAGGGGGGGATGAGGGGGCTGTCAGGAAGGCACGGGGGAGTGGGCAGGGGGAGGGGGAGGCGGACCCTAGGCCCCAGGTGGAGGCGGAACCAGAGGCCAAGCGAGGGAGAGTCAATGGGGAGAAGGGGGAAACAGGGGAGGAAGGGACAGGCGCAGCAGCGGAGCCGACAAATGGAGGGGAGGAAAAAGCTGGCAGCAGTGGTAGTGCTGCCAGTGGGGAGGTCACTGATGAGGCTGTGAGTAGTGGGGCTGCAAGTAGTGAGTATGGGCCAGGAGAGAAAGACGGGGAGGGAGCAAATGATAAGGGCGAAGGGGAGGGAAAGGGGGAGAACCAGGGGGGGGAGAAGGGGGAAGGCAGCGGGGAGGGTGAAGCGGAGAAGCAGAGGGAAGCAGCAGAGGCGTCGGTCCGCAAGGTGTCTCCAGGGCCCATGGCCCTGCCTGAGTGGTTGGCTGTGACCGCTGCTCCGTGGCTCAATACACCCATCGGCAAACGACCGGGGTAAGGCTTACCAGGGGGGGAAGCAGGAAAAGCCGAGTCAAGATACATGGCCGAACGTCGCGTCGTGTTCTAGTCAGTGAATATTCTAGAGCCAAGTCACGTGATCGGGCTAATTTCATGCCTTTGTGTGCTTACCTCTGTGTGTGTGTGTGCGTGTGCGTGTGTGTGTGTATGTGTGTGCGTGTGTGTGTGTGTGTGTATGTGTGTGTGTGTGTGTGTGTGTGTGTGTGTGTGTGTGTGTGTGTGTGTGTGTGTGTGTGTGCATGGTTGTGTTGTATGTGTGTGTGTGTGTGCATGTTTGTGTTGTGTTTGTGTGTGTGTGTGTTTGCATGCTTGTGTTGTGTGTGTGTGTGTGTGCATGTTTGTGTGTGTGTGTGTGTGTGTGTGTGTGCATGTTTGTGTTGTGTTTGTGTGTGTGTGTGGGTGGGTGTGTGCATGTTTGTGCTGTATGTGTGTGTGGGCCTGTCTCTCTGTCCACAGCCATGCAGGGCCCATCATTCAGCTCATGTTTGACATCAGGGGGAGAGCAACCACCAGCGCCCCTCTGCAGGTACGCAGCTTCCTCATCATCTCACTTCCACTCCCCCCTCCCTCCCTCAAGCTCTCCCCCACACTCATGCTCTCCCCCCTCTCTACATTCCTTCCCCCATCTCCCCCCTCCTCCCTCCCTCCCCTTCCGTCACCCCACCCCTCGCCCCGCATCACCTCACTGTCTGAGCGCCTCCCTCCTCCCCATCCATGGCAGGCGAAGCTAGATAAGCTGCCCGAGTGGCAGGCGTTTGCCCAGCTGGGGGGGCAGTTGGACGAGCTGCTCTCCCAGCAGCACGGAGTGCTGTGTGGGCCCAAGCCAGTGGTGCCGGGCAGCGATGCAGCTGACATGGGGACGGGCAGCGGCGGGCAGAGCATGCTGTTTGGGGAGCCGGACCTGCCACCATCCGTGCTGGGGAAGCTGAGAGCCATCTATCTTCAATAAAGGAACACTGGCTAGCAGCAGGGGAAGTACAGTAGTCATGTTTGACGAAGGGTGCTCCATATGTTGCATCCTATGCTAGGTGAGCATTGAGAGGTGTTGGATAACAGTGATTAAATCGAGTGATCGTTAGAGTCGTTTTTTATTACTTCCCCAAAGTAATTGTAGGAAATGAAGTGTTGGCGTACGAGTGGATATATGCATCCAGCAGTGTAGTTACAAAAATGACATTGACTTCTAAGACAGGACACTGTCCATCCCTCCCATTCATCTGCACGACCTTGCTGCTGCGCTTGACCTACGTGGCAGACTGACAGCACTTAGTCAAGTGCTGCTGCTGCTGCTGACGCATTGCACATCCGTCCGCTTGACCCCACCGCCCCAACAAGACAATTTTGTTGTCCGTCAACAGTGGCCTGATCGCGGCAAGCCCAATGGAATTGAGCCGACGCAAAAATTGCGGTGATGGGGAGGAAGAGTCCGTTTCCGTTGCGACGCGCCGAGAGTCCAGCGCGACAAAAGACGTGACTTGAAAGGCGTTACAGCTTTCTGCCAGTCGAAAGGCCAGAGCGGCTCACTTTCGGAGGAGGAAATATCAGTTAGGTCACGAAGGATGCTGTAGTGTGTCTCCCCGCGCATCACTGTTTACGAAGTCCCGAGTTCCAGCGACGCGCGTCCGCCATGGAATTCCACCTGTCAGCACCAGATACGCAACAGTCGCCCGGTCACTTCGTTCTGCTCTCACGCGCCGCTTCCGAACCCTGTTCTCCCGCCGCATATCGCGCTGAGGACCACAGCCCGCCGTTTAAAGCTCGCTGTATCCGCCCGAAACCAGCAGTATTAGCAGGAACAGATAGTAGCGTGACGGCGCCAGTCGCGGCGCAATACCCGCCCGTGATACCGTTGCAAATCACCCCGCCGGACATGCTTCCGTCGCTGACAGACGTGGTAAACGCTGACGGCCACACGTGGCTGAAATACGGCGAGAAGCGAATCAGCAAGAACACCGTCATGAGGTTCGTCTGGCGCTGCCGTCCGAGGGAGTCCCTCTCAGCCTCGGCATGCTGCTTCCTCCCGCATGCTGCAGTTTCCTGCATACTGCTCGCTCTCGCATACATTCTACCCCTCCAGTGCCCCATACTACCTCTTTCTCCCCTCCAATCTCACTTGCTCGCTCCCTGCCTTCGGCCGTACGATACTCCCCAGGTCGTACTACAAGTGCTCGTGGTCGCGCGCTCTCCAACCGTGTCGCGCCACCAAGACCGTCGACACCGACCCCCGGCGCCCGCAGCGCGCGGTCGTCCGCGTGCACGGCTCGCACAACCACGCCCCGGGCGCCGCCTGCCCCCGCTCCGCCTGCCCCCGCTCCGCCGCCCGTCGAGTTCCGCCGCCGCTCGACATCCCCCCCGCCTCCCCTTCCGCCCTCCGCGCCAAATTCTCCGCCAATGCGGCGACGAGAAACCCAGCGACCGCTGCCGAAAACTGGCCGGTTTCGCCACAGTTCGCGAACAGTCAGCCCGTGACTCCGAGCATGCCGTCGCCCATGTCGGGAGATTCGCCCAGCGGGCCGTTCGGCGTGTCCCTGTCGTTCCACAGCACCAGCAGCCCCGGCGCCAGCCCTCTCGCCAGCCCCCTCAGCGACATGGCCGCTCCCACCACGGCGTGCGACCGACCCGGCAGAGCGCGAGTGAGCGACGTGGCGCTGACGGGGCGTGGCGAGGGTGGAGGGGCGGAGGGACGGCGCGTGGCAGACATGATGGCGGTCGACAGCGAGACGCTTGGTGGTGCTGCTGTCCCGGGCCGTGCTGCCGCTGGCGGTGCTGCTGCTTACCCGGGCGGTGCTGCTGCTTACCCGGGCGGAGCTGCTGCTTACCGGGGCGGTGCTGCTGCGTGCTGCTTTGTGGACGCCTCAGCTGGCGTTGTGAGCACCAGTGATGGTCGTCTGGCGGCGGAAAGACCAGTGACGCTGAGCTCGCTTGTATCGGAGCTGCAGGCAACGAGGATGGGCGGTCCGGCGTGCAGCGCGGCGGGCCAGCATGGGAGGCGAGAGAAGGCGGGTGGGATGCGAGGGACGACGGGTGTGGCGCGTGCGAGGGCGGGAGAGGCGGTGTTTATGCCTCCGAGTTTTGGCTGGCGGGGTGCAGGTGGTGCTGCTTGTCCTGCCGTTGGTGACCCTGCCCGGCACAAGACGGAATTCAAGGAGGAGGAGCAGGAGCACGAGGGTCCGTCTCTGGACCTCTCCCTCGGCACCCCCGGCTCACAGCACGGGCGAGAGGTCCCTTGCCCCGGCACGTGGGGGACGGAGCTTGCCGCATTGGAAAGAGCGGGGCAAGACGCTTCGTTACAAGCAATGACAGTAGACGCAGCAGCAGCTGCTGCAGGGAACGCCCATGCTCTGCAGCCAGCATTCACACAGGAGCCAGCCCCTGCAGGCACCCAGATGTACCCTGCCTTGGGAGCTGCCCCGGGCCGTGGAACAAACTCAGTTGACTTCACTGTGGCTGCTCAAGGCGCTGGCTTGGGAGTTGGGATGGGCGGCCTTGCGCCGCAACACCAGCTCTGGCTGCCACAGAGACACCAGCCCCAGCCTCAGCAGCCTCGGCCGCAGCAGCTGCGGCAGCAGCCACGGCATGTGGGGATCGAGGCGGATGAGCCAGATGCTGCAACATGTGTTCTTCTGGCAGCGGCGCTGCTCCAAGCTGCTGTGAATAAAAGGCAGCACCACGTGTGACACTGTCATATCTGTAAATGCATCAATATAGAATTTCCTTGCGTTGTTTTTATGAAGGTCTTGCATATAGGTAAATAAGTTACCTTATTTACTGCAAGTGTAGTGCATTAATAAATCATTTGCTTTACTGCTACCGGGTCTCTCGATACTTGTGCACAAACGAACATTTCACTTGTGGGCCTTGATGCATCAATATTGGCCCCATTCCTCTTGGAAACGCCGCATTGAGACAGTGAGACATGGCGCGTTCCGACACGCGATCCCAACGCAACGCGACATCCCGAGTTTGGCGCGCGTTTCTAGCAGGGCTCGGAGCGGCAAGGGGGCTAGCGCCCTCTGCGTTGCAAGTCAGGCAAATTCCAGCCTCCTAATATTCCCCATTCTCCCTCTCACTCTCTCTTCGTTTGCTCCGAGCAGACTGCTTTTGGTAACTCGCGCCTTACCTCCCTTCCCTCCCTCCTGGTCTCGTTCACTTCCCCCTTCTCCCCAATCTACGTGTCACCCGCTGGCGCTTGCCACATTCCCTTACCCGCGAATCTCTTGTTTTTCCATTCTTTCCAGGAAGCTTCTCCCTCTTCTCCGCCCCTTCGCTCTCGGCGCACTGATTGGTTCGCTCCTCGTCGCCGCGTCGCTTCTCTCCGCCAATCCCCCCCGCGCTGCACCTTCCGCGGCTGTAGCTTCCGCAAGTGGCTCGGGGACGTTAGGGGGAGGGGGCGCAGGGGGGGTTGGCGCAAGGGGTGCAAGTGACTGGATACACGGGGGCGAGGGGGTGGTAACCAGCAATGCGGTAACCATCTCGTCCTCGGGAGGGGCTCTGGACGCAGCTGATTCGCTGCCGGGCCTGTCGGAGGGCTTCGGCATGGCCCTTACAGACCTGGAGCAGAGGTACGGGAAGGGAACACTCACGGGGGTTAAATGGGCCGTGGGACGTGTTAGGGGAGGGTGAAGGTGAGAGGTGGTGGGGGGGAGTTGCAGGGGTGGGGGGGGTGAAATGAGGCTCAAGCCGTAAACGGCTGAGAGCAGGCAGGAGAGCGCTCACTCCCCTCATCTCTCCCTTGTGTCTAGACCTCCCTCCCACACCCCATCCGCCCGGCCCACTTCCCCACCCCACCCCCTCCCCCACCCCCCCCCCAACACCCCCAGAGACCCCACGCTGCTGGCGCTGCAAGTGAGCAACCGCCAGCTGGCAGCGCTGACGGCTGACGTGGCGCAGTGGCGGGTGAGGAGTGGTGCCAGCATGGACGGCGTGATTGGCGCTGCCAGGGAGGTGTGTGTGGGGTGTGGGGCTGCCAGGGAGGTGCATGAGGGGTGTGGGGCTGCCAGGGAGGTGCATGAGGGGTGTGGGGCTGCCAGGGAGGTGCATGAGGGGTGTGGGGCTGCCAGGGAGGTGCATGAGGGGTGTGGGGCTGCCAGGGAGGTGCATGAGGGGTGTGGGGCTGCCAGGGAGGTGCATGAGGGGTGTGGGGCTGCCAGGGAGGTGCATGAGGGGTGTGGGGCTGCCAGGGAGGTGCATGAGGGGTGTGGGGCTGCCAGGGAGGTGCATGAGGGGTGTGGGGCTGCCAGGGAGGTGCATGAGGGGTGTGGGGCTGCCAGGGAGGTGCATGAGGGGTGTGGGGCTGCCAGGGAGGTGCATGAGGGGCGTGGGGCTGCCAGGGAGGTGCATGAGGGGTGTGGGGCTGCCAGGGAGGTGCATGAGGGGTGTGGGGCTGCCAGGGAGGTGCATGAGGGGTGTGGGGCTGCCAGGGAGGTGCATGAGGGGTGTGGGGCTGCCAGGGAGGTGCATGAGGGGTGTGGGGCTGCCAGGGAGGTGCATGAGGGGTGTGGGGCTGCCAGGGAGGTGCATGAGGGGTGTGGGGCTGCCAGGGAGGTGCATGAGGGGTGTGGGGCTGCCAGGGAGGTGCATGAGGGGTGTGGGGCTGCCAGGGAGGTGCATGAGGGGTGTGGGGCTGCCAGGGAGGTGCATGAGGGGTGTGGGGCTGCCAGGGAGGTGCATGAGGGGTGTGGGGCTGCCAGGGAGGTGCATGAGGGGTGTGGGGCTGCCAGGGAGGTGCATGAGGGGTGTGGGGCTGCCAGGGAGGTGCATGAGGGGTGTGGGGCTGCCAGGGAGGTGCATGAGGGGTGTGGGGCTGCCAGGGAGGTGCATGAGGGGTGTGGGGCTGCCAGGGAGGTGCATGAGGGGTGTGGGGCTGCCAGGGAGGTGCATGAGGGGTGTGGGGCTGCCAGGGAGGTGCATGAGGGGTGTGGGGCTGCCAGGGAGGTGCATGAGGGGTGTGGGGCTGCCAGGGAGGTGCATGAGGGGTGTGGGGCTGCCAGGGAGGTGCATGAGGGGTGTGGGGCTGCCAGGGAGGTGCATGAGGGGTGTGGGGCTGCCAGGGAGGTGCATGAGGGGTGTGGGGCTGCCAGGGAGGTGCATGAGGGGTGTGGGGCTGCCAGGGAGGTGCATGAGGGGTGTGGGGCTGCCAGGGAGGTGCATGAGGGGTGTGGGGCTGCCAGGGAGGTGCATGAGGGGTGTGGGGCTGCCAGGGAGGTGCATGAGGGGTGTGGGGCTGCCAGGGAGGTGCATGAGGGGTGTGGGGCTGCCAGGGAGGTGCATGAGGGGTGTGGGGCTGCCAGGGAGGTGCATGAGGGGTGTGGGGCTGCCAGGGAGGTGCATGAGGGGTGTGGGGCTGCCAGGGAGGTGCATGAGGGGTGTGGGGCTGCCAGGGAGGTGCATGAGGGGTGTGGGGCTGCCAGGGAGGTGCATGAGGGGTGTGGGGCTGCCAGGGAGGTGCATGAGGGGTGTGGGGCTGCCAGGGAGGTGCATGAGGGGTGTGGGGGGGGGGGGGGGGTGGGGCTGCCAGGGAGGTGCATGAGGGGTGTGGGGCTGCCAGGGAGGTGCATGAGGGGTGTGGGGCTGCCAGGGAGGTGCATGAGGGGTGTGGGGCTGCCAGGGAGGTGCATGAGGGGTGTGGGGCTGCCAGGGAGGTGCATGAGGGGTGTGGGGCTGCCAGGGAGGTGCATGAGGGGTGTGGGGCTGCCAGGGAGGTGTATACATTATGGAACGTGGGGTGCTCGTTTCTATGGTGCGTAATGTGGGCCCCTCTCCTCTCCATTCTCCTCGCTCCCTCCCTTTCCCTCCTCTCCCTGCCCCTCCGTTCACTGCTGTCTCTTCGTTTACGGCTCTCCCCTCACCCCCTCCCCATCCCAACAGGAGCTCCATTCCCTCCTGGCAGCCGCTCCCTCCTCTATCCAGCACATTCCGCCATCCTCCCTGCCTCTTCTCCTCCGCTTCCTCCGCTCCCCTGACGTTTTTCACCAAAATGTCTCTGCTCTCTCTGCTGCTCTCGCCGCCCTCCTCCCTATTCAACTCATCCCGCTTCCCTCTCTAACTGCTGCTGCTGCTGCTGCTGCTGCTGCTGCGTCAGGGAAGGACGCAGGTGGAGGGGGAGGGAGTGGGAAGGCTGGAGGGGAGGGGGGGTTGTGGAGGGGAGGGGTTGAGGGCATGGAGCGGTGCATGGCGCTCATGTGCCACGTGGAGCGACAGCAGCTCCTGTATGCTCAAGGTGATGTGTGATATGAGTGCATGGGGTATGAGGGCTCGGGACATGAGGGCACGGCATATGAGGGCATGGCATATGGGGGCACGGGATATGAGGGCACGGGGTATGAGGGCACTGGACACCTCCCAGTATCTCCCAGCACCTCCCAGCACCTGCCAGCTCCTTGAGTGTTCTTGTGTGCGTCCATCTCCCTCCCTCCCTTGCGTCCGCATCCTCTTCTCTCCTGTCTGCGGTCACTGCAGCACGGGAGGCGTTTGAGGAGTTGCAGCGGGAGAGGCGGGCGTGGGGGGTGGTGGGGGGGCGGGTGGCGTGGGTGGAGGAGAGGGTGGCGTGGATGGGGCATGCGGGGAGCACCATGGAAGCGCTGCAGCGCCTCATGCGCATGCCGCCCGCCTCAGGTGGGGGGTTCATATATTAGGCTCTTAAATCGATTCATGCCATATGGACTAATCTTGGCTGTTCAAGCGCGGAACCATGTATCTGGCATGTGACCCATGTGTCTGCGGTGTCTCACACTTTCCTGCCTTGCAACCTCCCTGCCTTGCAACCTCCCTGCCTTGCAACCTCCCTGCCTTGCAACCTCCCTGCCTTGCAACCTCCCTGCCTTGCAACCTCCCTGCCTTGCAACCTCCCTGCCTTCCAACCTCCTGCCTTGCAACCTCCCTGCCTTGCAACCTCCCTGCCTTGCAACCTCCCTGCCTTGCAACCTCCCTGCCTTGCAACCTCCCTGCCTTGCAACCTCCCTGCCTTGCAACCTCCCTGCCTTGCAACCTCCCTGCCTTGCAACCTCCTTGCCTTGCAACCTCCCTGCCTTGCAACCTCCCTGCCTTGCAACCTCCCTGCCTTGCAACCTCCCTGCCTTGCAACCTCCCTGCCTTGCAACCTCCCTGCCTTGCAACCTCCTGCCTTGCAACCTCCCTGCCTTGCAACCTCCCTGCCTTGCAACCTCCCTGCCTTGCAACCTCCCTGCCTTGCAACCTCCCTGCCTTGCAACCTCCCTGCCTTGCAACCTCCCTGCCTTGCAACCTCCCTGCCTTGCAACCTCCCTGCCTTGCAACCTCCCTGCCTTGCAACCTCCCTGCCTTGCAACCTCCCTGCCTTGCAACCTCCCTGCCTTGCAACCTCCCTGCCTTGCCACCTCCCTGCCTTGCCACCTCCCTGCCTTGCCACCTCCCTGCCTTGCAACCTCCCTGCCTTGCAACCTCCCTGCCTTGCAACCTCCCTGCCTTGCAACCTCCCTGCCTTGCAACCTCCCTGCCTTGCCACCTATGCGCCACCTACACCCTATCTCCCCCCCCCTTATCACCCCTATCCCCCGCGTGCAGACATATTCCGCAAGCTCTTCGAGTATGTCTTCTGGCTGCGCCCCTACGTCGCCCTCTTCCGCTCCATCCCCACCCCCACGCTCTCCCGCCTCTCCCCTCTCCGCCTCTCCTCCCTCCGCTCCTCCCTCTCCCTCCAAGGGCGGCAGGCAGCTGCTACCCTTAATGCCGCCCGCTCCTCCCTCCTCTCCTCCCTCCGCATTCTCTCCTCACGCTGTGGAGTCAACACGGGCAGCGAGTTTTGGACTGACATGCATGACTCGGCGCTGCAAAGGTACCGGTGGGTGGCGGAATCGGCGTTTGACAAGTGGTGCGTGGACTGGGCGGCGGTGGGCGGCGATTATCGGCAGCGAGTGGGGCTGGTTGCACCGGGGGAGGTGTGGAGGAGAGAGGGGCTGCATTTGGGGGGCATGGAGAAGGGGAGAGAGATGGGAGTGAGAGGGGAGGGGGAGAATGGGATTTCAAGAGATGGGGAGGGGCAAGGGAAGGGTGATGGGGAGACGGAGAGAGGGGGGGGAGCAGAGGAGGCGGAGGGGAAGGAGTCATCAGCGGCAGATGCGAGGAGAATGGAAGGAGAGAGAGCGAGTGTGGGGTGGATGGGCGCACAGCCGGAGGTGTCGTTCCTGCTGCTGCCAGACGCCGTCTCCCGGGCACAAGCAGGGCAGCAGCACGGGCAGGGACCCAGCAGCAGCAGTGAAGGGGGGGGAGGAGGGAGTGAGGCGAATATGGAAGCAAGGGGTGGAGGGGTGGATGCACGGGCACTGGTGGAGGTGCTGGTGGGGTGCATGCGGCACGCGGGATATGAAGCGACGGGCAGCGTGCTGGATGTGCCTGCTCAGCTGCTGGTGCTGCTGCCCGCGGGGGAGGATGGGTGGGGAGGGCAGGAGAAAGGGGAGAGGGGAGGTATGGGAGGGGAGTGGGAGAGGGTGGCGGAGTGGAGCCGCGCGGCATGGGCAGTAGAGGAGCAGCGATTCTCGGTGCTGCCGGTGGTGGTGGGGAGAAGGGGGGGAGGGGTGGCAGGGGTGGCAGGGGTGGCAGGGGTGGCAGGAGGGGGAAAAGAGGGAAGAGGGCAGACCACCCATGAGCTCACCTCTGACTTTGAGAGATTCGATTTCCTGGCCAGGGCGGCAAGGGGCAAAGTGCTGGTGCTGCTGAGGGGGGCGGATGCAAGAGCGATAGTGGCGCGGGTGCAGGGCGGGCTGGGGCAAGACGCTGGGAGCTGTGAGTGGCTGCTGGCCGCACAGAGGGCGCTCCAGGGGGATGAGTTGCTTGCAGTGGCTGGGTTTGTGGGAGGGGAGGGGGGCAGCGAGGAAGGGGAGGGTGGAGGGGAGAAGGGAGCGGGGAGTGGTGAGGGGGGGGGTGGTGGTGGTGAGGGCAGCAAGGATGGGGATGGAAGCAAGAATGGCACAAGGGGGGGAGGGTGGGTGTATGGGGTGGAAGGGGGTTGGCGAGCAGTGGAGCAGCAGATGAGGGAGTGGGGCGACATGGGCAAGCGACTGCACAGCACCACCACCAACCGCACCAGTGACAGCACCCCAGGTGACAACAACAACACCGGTGACATCAATGGCGCCAGCACCACTCCCCCTCCGCTAGCCTACAGGGGTTGGGTGCAGGGCACGCCCTTGGCCATCCGCCGCTCTGCGCTGCTCTCCATGGGGTCCGTGGCGCCGCTGCAGGGGGCAGAGGCAGGGAGTGCGGGGGAGGAGGGGGGTGTGGGCAGCGGCGTTGGTGCGTGGATGCTGTGTGTGCGGGCATGGCTTGCTGGGTTCCATGTGGGGCTCTTTCAATCCCCAGCGGCTGGGTTTCTGCTTCCAGCGCGTGCTGGGCCAGGTACAGGGGGGTTTGAGTCGGTGAGGGGCCTGGGTGTGGTGTATGGCGAGTTTGCTACACTTGCTGCTCCATATGTGCGCACTGTAAGGCACAGAATAGACCTCTTGAACTCATACTAGTCGTGGAAATCCTAGTCGTGTTAACACACAAGCCATACCGCGTGAGATCCATTGCCTGCATCTACCGTATATGTTTATTCCCCCAATTAGACCTAGACAACACACATCCCACTACAATTACCCAAGGCTATCACTAGTGTCTGTCTGCTGTACCATTGACCTACCTAGCCTCGTCCCAGTCAGCTTTGCAGACAATTATGCTACCCTGGTTCCAGCAGGCCAAACGGCACATCTACACAAACCATGCTTCTCACACTCAAAGCATGCATGCATGCGTCCCTGCTTCTTGCATGCGTCTCACTCATGTCATGTCGTTCTCACGGCATCACGAGGCCTAGAGCACAGCAGCTAGCAGAAGGTGCAGAGCTAGCGGAAGGTGCAGAGCACGAGGCCAACGAATAGCCTTGCATTGGTGCAGACATAGCCGTTATTAAGGTCGGACATGCGCCTGGTGTTGTACTGGAACTTGAGGGCGATGATGCGCGCACAGAAGTCTCCACGCACCACCGTGTACGACGTCCGGCACCGCGCCCGCTGCTGCGCCTGCTGCTGCTGCGGCTGCACTGACTGCACTGTTTGCAATGACTGCTGCTGCTGCTGCTGGGCTGTTAAGCTGCCCGAGAGGAGGCCAGAGGGGTCGTAGACAAGCGAGGGGTGGTGATGGGAGTGGTGGTGGTGCAGCCCGTGGCTGCTGTGCGTGTGGTCATTCACGTGGCGCAGCGACCGGCCGCGCGCAACGAGGGAGTTGATGGTGGCGTTGGACGCCGCCTTCACACAGATCTGACGGGCACAAATTGGGGCGCATAGGAGGGGGGTGGGGGGAGGGGAGAGGGGAGGTGTGGGTGGTGGTGCAAGTGGCTGGTCATGTGATGTGGTGCCTGGAGTCGTGCAACGAGGGAGTCGATGCTCGCGCTGGCCACTGCCTTCACACTGGGGGCAGAGGGGGGCCGGGGGGGGGGAGGTGTGGGTGGGAAGGGCAGTGGCGTTGGGGAAAGGGCAGTGGCGTTGGGGAAAGGGCAGTGGTTGTTTGAGGGGGGAAGGGAAGGGGGCGTTGGACCTCAGCATGCCACGCACCCACCTCAGCATGCCGTGCACCCACCTCAGCATGCCGCGCACCCACCTCAGCATGCCGTGCACCCACCTCAGCATGCCACCTCAGCATGCCTATACCTGCGCGCCACTGGGAATGGTGGTGAGCCCGTCGACAGTGGCAGCGGGGTAGAGGTTGGAGCAGAAGACGCCCGGGTTGAGGGCGAAGAAGGAGGACCAGGAGAGCGAGTACTGCTGGCGGATGCTGACACAGGTGTCCGGGGACGCTATCACGTGGTACTGCGCGCACAGGGGGATGGCCAGCCCACTGCCCTCCCGCACACAGATCTGGAGGGAGGGGAAAAGGGAGGATGAGATGAGGTGATAAGATGCCAGGGGTTGAAGGAAAATGGAGAGGAGGGTGACTGAGAATGAGGGTGGGAGTGGGGCGTGTGGATGTGAGTGCCCGTTAGATTGCTTCAGCAAGGATGTAGGCATGGTATTCTACACCCCTTCAGGCGCTTACCCGACTGGTGCAGGTGCGCCCGGGGTTGAGCGCCTGCAGCTGGTGCCCTCACCTCACGCGCAGTGCCTTCACCGTTCCCCACCCCCCTGTGCTTTCACCGCTCCCCACCCCCCCGTGGATCACCCACGCACCTGCTGCCCCGGGTACGCGCCAGCGGGGCAAGTGAGCCCGGGATTGAGCGCCTTCAGCTGGCTGACGGTGATGCCGAAGAGCGCTGCCACCGCCCAGCATCGATTGCCCTGCAGGGGGAAGAGGGGGGGTGGGGGGGGGGGGGGGGGGGTGGGGGGGGGGAAGGGGAACGGGTAGTGAAAAACAGGAATGAAAGGGGAGGGAGTAGGAAGGTGGGTGCTGAGGAGCGTTGCAGTAAGCAGTGGCCCAATGGTGGTGGGTGAGAGCGGGCTAGGAATGGCAGGAGTTGTGTGCCATGCCATGCCATGCATGCATGCAGAGCCACCTGAGCGTGTGGCACTGAGCGTCACGTGGGTTCTCAGCTCACCCAGTTCCAGGGGTAGAAGAGGCCGCAGCTGACCGTGTCTGACGTGGCCTTCACGTCCACCTTCTTGCCCTTCTTTATCTTGCTGTCGCTCGAGTCCTGGGGGTGGGAGAGGGGGGGCAGAGGTGCGGGTAGACAGAGGTTGGATTAAAGAGGTTGCCAGATCAATTACCTGTATGCATGCTGCACATCAATTCAAGGGGCAATGCGAGATGGGGGGGAGGAGGGGAGGAATGAGGGGTTCGGAGAGAAGCGGGGTGAAAAAGCCGATGGAGAGAAAGGGGATGCAG